GACATTGCTGTGTGTTATATTTTCTGTCTGAAATGTCTTGAACCAAGCACATTCTTTTTTTTTTTTTTTTTTTAAGATTTTATTTTTTTATTTGTCAGAGAGAGATGGAGAGCACAAGCAGGGGAAGCATGACAGGAAAGAGGGAGAAGCAGGGTGAAGTGTTGAAATTTTCCCCCCTAACATTTTGTTAGGAAGATGTTCAAATACAGAGAGTCTTTGAAAAGAGTTGTATGGTGAACACCCATACACTCAAAATTAGCTTTTTTTTTTTTTTTTCTTTTAAGATTTTATTTGACAGAGAGAGACACAGCGAGAGAAGGAACACAAGCAGGGGGAGTGTGAGAGGGAGAAGCAGGCTTCCCGCGGAGCAGGGAGCCCGATGTGGGGCTCGATCCCAGGACCCTGAGATCATGACCTGAGCCGAAGGCAGATGCCCAACAACTGAGCCACCCAGGCGCGCCCCCCCCCTTTTTTAAGATTTTATTTATTTGAGAGAGGGAGACAGAGATAGCAAGAGAGAGCACAAGCAGGGAGGAGAAGGAGAAGCAGGCTCCCCGCGGAGCAGTTAGCCCGATGCGGGGCTTGAACCCAGGACTCTGGGATCATGACCTGAGCTGAAGGCAGACGCTTAATGACCAAGCCACCCAGGCACCCCCCAAAATTAGCTTTTTGATATATTTGTTTTATTACATCTGGCTAGCTATCCATTGTTTTACCTTATTTTCTTGATGCATTTCAAGGTAAATTAAAGTCACCGATATAGTTTAGTCCTATGCTCTTTAGCATATACACATATCTAACTAGAGTTTGATATTTGTTTAGGTCCCCCCCCCCACTTTTCTAAGTTGAAATTTACATAGGGAGACATTTTAAGTGTTACCAGATTATTTTTTGTTGGATGCATGTACCTGTATAACTCAGTCCTCTCTCAAGATACAGAACATCACGGGGCGCCTGGGTGGCTCAGTCGTTAAGCGTCTGCCTTCGGCTCAGGTCATGATCTCAGGATCCTGGGATCGAGCCCCGCATCGGGCTCCCTGCTCGGCGGGAAGCCTGCTTCTCCCTCTCCTACTCCCCCTGCTTGTGTTCCCTCTTTCGCTGTGTCTCTCTCTGTCAAAAAAAAAAAAAAAAAAGATACAGAACATCACCCTCATCCCAGAAGCTTCTGTAGCTTTTATTATGTTTTCTTGGTGCAGGCATCCTGACTTCTTTTAGGCTTCTGGCAATTTTCTTTATGTACTGCTGATTTCTTTCACCTTGCCTCTAACTCTCATTTTATCATTTTTTTTTTTTTTTTTTAAGATTTTTAAATTTTTATTTGACAGAGTACAAGCAGGGGGGAATGGCAGGCAGAGGGAGAGGGAGAAGCGGGCTCCCCTCTGAGCAGGTAGCCTGATGCGGGGCTTGATCCCAGGACCCCGGGATCATGACCCGAGCCGAAGGCAGACGCTTAACCATCTGAGCCACCCAGGGGCCCCTCATTGTATCTTTTTATGTGCCTCTTTTCCCTTAAGACTCTGCAGGTTTCTCATAACTAATGTGGACTGTGTTTTCTAGTCTTCGCACATGTTGTAGTCATTTTCCTCAGTCTTCAAGTATAAAATGACAGAAAAAAACATCATCTTCCGTTATATCCCTTCCTTCTTATGGCAACCACACTAGCCTAGACCCTCATTACTATATTCTTAGACTGATAAAATAGGTTCCTCCCTAGCTTGGAGGCAGTGTGATTGATACACTCGGCACTACATACCTGTGGTAGTTAGGAACCCTATGCCTTTAACATCCAGCATAAAGTGTTAGTAAATTGCTTAGGGGACACTATGGTGTTGAACTGTACTACTATGTCTAAGATCTTTCCTAGCAATAAAATTGAAGCTCCACTTCACGATTTAATAATCTTTATAATAGGAACTTTTTTTTATCTTATGGAAAGATAATGCTTGCTTGCCAGATTGTTGTTGGCCCTTTCCTGTATAACAGTTTTTCTGAAGTTTGCATGCATATTGTAAGGGTGTATATTTGGACATTTTCCATCTTTATATATGTATGCTCCTACCTTCCTTGCTTAATTGCCTCAGGACTTTCCTTGTCTAATTGCTTTAATTAGACCCTCCAGTACAAAAGGTTAGAACAGACACCTTGTTTTGTTCTTGATATTAGGGGGAAAGCTTTCATTTGTCTTTCACTGTTAAGTATGTTGTTAGCTGTGGTTTTTGTAGTTGCCTTTATTAGGTTGAGGAAGTTCCCTTCTATTTCTGATTTGTTGACTCCTTGTTATCATGAAAGGATATTGGATTTTATCAAATGCTTTTTCTGTGTCTTCTGAAATATTCATGGGGTGTTGTTATTTTATTAATATGATCTATTACATTGTTCAGATGTTAAACAACCTTGAATTATTGGGATAAACCTTACTTGGTAATGGTATATAATCCTTTGTGTATGTTGCTGGTTTGCTAGGATTTTGTGAAAGATTTTTTCATCCATAGTGGTATTTTTCTGTAGGTGTCTTTTCTTGTGATGTTTTTGATTTTGGTATCAGGATAATACTGACCTTGTAGAATGAGTTAGAAGTGTTCCCTTCTATATTTTTTGGAAGAGTTTGTAAAGAATTGGTATGCATGTTAATACCTTCATCATTTGGAAGAATTTACCATTGAAGCCATCTGGCCCTGGGCTTTTCTTTGTGGGAACTTTTTATTTATTTATTTTAAGTTGGCTCCACAACCAACATGGGACTTGAACTCAAGACCCTGAGATCAAGAGTCCCATGCTCTTCTGACTGAGCCAGCCAGGTGCCCCTGTGGGAACTTTTTGATGGCTAATTCAGTCACTTGTTATAGAATTTTCATTTTTCTTGACATAGTTTCAGTAGTATCTTTTTAGGAATTTTTTTTGTCTAGGTTATGCAGTTTGTGGCATACATTTGTTTATGGAATTTTATAATCCTTTTTATTCCTCTAACATAGGTAGCGATGTCCCCAATTTCATTCCTAATTTTAATGACTTTAGTCTTCTCTCTCCTTTCTTGGCTGATCTAGCTAAAAGGTTTGTCGGTTTTGTCGATTTCCCCTCTGCAAAGAATCAGATTTTTTTTTTTCCTACTGTCTTTTTCGTTTATTTTTACTGTTGTCTCTGTTACTTCCTTCTTTAAAAAACAAACTATTTTGGAACAGGCTCCTGGGTGGCTCAGTCGTTAAGTGTCTGCCTTCGGCTCAGGTCACGGTCCCAGGGTCCTGGGATTGAGCCCCACATCGGGCTCCCTGCTCTGTGGGAAGTCTGCTTCTCCCTCTCTCACCCCCTCTGCTTGTGTTCCCTCTCTCGCTGTGTCTCTCTCTGTCAAATAAATAAATAAAATCTTAAAAAAAAAAAAAAATCTCTGCACCCATCATGGGGCTTGAACTCTCAAACCCGAGATCAAGAGTCATATGCTCTACCAACTGAGCAAGACGGTCACCCCTTCTGTCATTAATTCTTAGCTTTTTATTTTTCCTTTTTAAATTTTTTACTTAAAATATTTCACCCTTTCACCTTTTATTTCTCTTGAAGCATTAACTGTTAAAAGTTTATTTTTGTGTTCCTTCTTTGTGTGTAGTCCTCATTTTTATTTCTTTTTTTTTTTAATGTTTTTTTTAAAAGATTTGATTTATTTATTTGAGAGAGAGAGAATGAGAGAGAGCACATGAGAGGGGGGAGGGTCGGAGGGAGAAGCAGACCCCCTGCCAAGCAGGGAGCCCGATGCGGGACTCGATCCAGGGACTCCAGGATCATGACCTGAGCCAAAGGCAGTCGCCCAACCAACTGAGCCACCCAGGCGCCCCTCATTTTTATTTCTGAGTTAGAAAATAATGAAGTTATTTATGTATTATATAATTTTCCTTATGCCCAGTGCCTTTTTAAAAGATTTTTATTTATTTGAGAGAGAGCGTGCATGAGCAAGGGGAGGGTGTACAGAGAAGAGAGAGAAGCAGCAGAGTCCTTTCCCCTGAGATCATGACCTGAACCGAAGTCAGACACTTAACCGACTGAGCCACCCAGGTACCCCATGCTCGGTGCCTTTTAGTTTTGAGATAGAAGATAGCAGTTGGGCTGTATTCTTTTTTTTTTTTTTTTTAAGATTTTGTTTATTTTTTTTGACAGACACAGCAAGAGAGGGAACACAAGCAGGGGGAGTGGGAGAGGGAGAGAGAGAAGCAGGCTTCCCGCTGAGCAGGGATCCCGATGCGGGACTAGATCCCAGGACACTGGGATCATGACCTGAGCCGAAAGCAGACGCTTAACGACTAAGCCATCCAGGCGCCCCAGGGCTTTATTCTCTAGGTACTTTTTTTTTGGTGTGTTTTCATTGGTTATGGGGGTATTATCTTCTTACTCTGTTTTTCTTAAAATAACTTTGTATGGGATTTGACCTTTATTTTTCTCTTGCTCTAATTTATGTGCAGTGAGTTTTCTTGGACTTTCAGATGGCTACATGGTTATGAGTGGGTTTTCTAATTTAGAATAAATTAATAATTTATTAATTTAACTAATAAACCGTAGAGAGTTTCTTTTCTGTGTAATTATGTTGGCTTACTTTCTGAGATTTCCTGGCCCCTTCCCCTCCACCATTGCGGACCTTCTTTTCTTCCCTGTATATGTGGCTTAAGTTTTTTTTTTTTTTAAGATTTTATTTATTCATTTGTCAGAGAGTGAAAGAGAGAGAGAGCAAGTGAGCACAAGCAAGGGGAGCTGCAGGCAGAGGAGGAGGCAGGCTCCCCGCTGAGCAAGGAGCCCGATGGGGGCTCCACCCCAATGACCTGAGCCGAAGGCAGACGCTTAACGACTGAGCCACCCAGGCACCCATTACTAAGTATATTTTAAAAAGATTACCCTTACTTAGTGATTTAAGAAATAAAAATTAGACCAAATAGAGACCATTTTTCATTGATTAAATTGGCATTTTTTAATTTTTTAATTTTTATTTATTTTTTAAAGATTTTATTTATTTATTTTGACAGAGAGAGAGAGACAGCTAGAGAGGAAACACAAGCAGAGAGAGTGGGAGATGGAGAAGCAGGCTTCCCGCCGAGCAGGGAGCCCTACGTGGAGCTCGATTCCGGGACCCTGGGATCATGACCCGAGCTGAGGGCAGACGCCTAACAACTGAGCCACCCAGGCGCCCAGAATTGGCATTTTTTTTTAAATTGGAAAGATTTTGAAAACAGGCTGTTTTATACTGCTGGTGGAGAATAAATCTTTGTAGCCAGTGTGCAGAGAATTTTTGAACAGATGGTTTGAAATGTTTTTTTCTTTATTTAATTTAAATTCACTTAGCCAACATACAGTACATCATTAGTTTCAGATGTATGAAACATTTTTCTAGATATTTCTTTGGTCAGTAGTTTCACATCTTTGTACTTATTCTAAGAAAGCTATCATGGATATGTGTACAAATTTAGGTATAAGACTTGATCTCTGTAGTATTTGGGTAGAAAAGTTGTTCATTATTAGCTCCTTGATTTATTTTTTTCTTCATTCTCTATGCTCATTCAGTAATTTAAATGGTTTAACTTTTTAAATATTTGTTGGGAGTTAGTAAAGGTTTTAGTGAACAAGGGTAATATTTTTATTTTTTTATTATTTTTTGAAGATTTTTATTTATTTGAGAGATTGAAAGTGAGGGAACATGAGCGGCGAGGGATGGTAGAGGGAGAAGGAGCCCGACTCAGGGCTCCATCTCCGGCTCCTGGGATCAGGACCTGAGCCGAAGGCAGACGGGTAATATTTTTATTTCTGTAAATTTTGGGAGTGATTTTAGGTTTATCAGAAAGTTGCATGGAAATAGTACAGAGAGTTCCTATGTGCCCCTCACCTAGTTTCCTGTTATTAATCAAGGTACCTTTGTAAAAGCTAACAAGCCAAATGGGCATATTACTATAAACTCACTGCACAAAAGTTACTTATTTACTTATTTATTAAATTAATTAAAGATTTTACTTACTTGAGAGAGCACGAGTGGGGTGAGGGGCAGAGGGAGAAGCAGACTCCCTGCTGAGCAGGGAGCCCAATGCAGGGCTCGATCCCAGGATTCTGGGATCATGATCTGAGCCGAAGGCAGACACTTACTTAATTGACTGAGCCACTCAGGTGCCCCAAGAGTTAACTTTTTTATACAGTAACTTTCTAATTTTTTTTTTAAGATTTTATTTATTTATTTGACAGAGAGACACAGTGAGAGAGGGACCACAAGCAGGGGGAGTGGGAGAGGGAGAAGCAGGCTTCCCACCAATCAGGGAGCCCGATGCGGGGCTTGATCCCAGGCCCCTGGGATCATGACCTGAGCCGAAGGCAGATGCTTAACGGCTGAGCCACTCAGGTGCCCCATAACTTTCTAATTTTTTTTTTTTTTTAAGATTTTATTTATTTATTTGAGAGAGAGAATGAGAGAGAGAGAGCAAGAGAGGGGGGAGGGTCAGAGCGAGAAGCAGACTCCCTGCCGAGCAGGGAGCCCGATGCGGGACTCAATCCTGGGACTCCAGGATCCTGACCTGAGCCGAAGGCAGTCGCTTAACCAACTGAGCCACCCAGGCGCCCAACTTTCTAATTTTTTATTGCCAAAAATACTACAAAAGGAAACGGCAAAATTTCAGTAATTTGATTTTTTTTTTTTTAAGTGTTTTGGGGGGCGCCTGGGTGGCTCAGTTGTTAAGCGTCTGCCTTAGGCTCAGGTCGCGATCCTAGGGTGCTGGGATCGAGCTCCACATCGGGCTCTCTGCTTGGCGGGAAGCCTGCTTCTCCCTCTCCCACTTCCCCTGCTGTGTTCTCTCTCTCGCTGTGTCTGTCTCTCTCAAATAAATGGATAAAATATTAAAAAATATTTAAAACAAATGAGTGTTTTGGCTGAAAAGCCACTGGAAGAGAGTTTTCTGTTAGGGTGACTAATTGTAGCATTTGAAAGTTTCCTTTTTTTTTTTTTTTTAAGGTCTTCTTTATTTGTCAGAGGGAGAGAGAGAGCCCACAAGCAGGGGGGCGGCAGGCAGAGCAGGCAGAGAGAGAAGCAGGCTCCCTGCTATGGGACATGATCCCATGACCCTGGGATCATGAACGACCTGAGCCCAAGGCAGCCGCTTAACTGACTGAGCCACCCAGGTGTCCCTAAAGTTCCCTTTTTCTTAAAAATTTTTAAATTGTGGCTTAAAAAAAAATTAATTTAAAAAAATACATATATTTTTTAGCTTTCATTTATTCATCTGAGTGAGAGAGGGAGACTGAGAAAGAGACAGAGAGCACAAGCAGCGGGGAGAGGCAGAGGGAGAAGGAGAAGCAGACTCCCTGCTGAGCAGGGAACCCGATGCAGGGCTCAATCCCAGGACCCTGAGATCATAACCTGAGTTGATAGTAGACGCTTAACTGACTAAGCCACCCAGGCACCCCTAAAAATAATTTTTATTACGTTAAATACAGCCGTTTTTCTTCAGAGCTGACCAGGATATCTTAAAAGAGTTGACAGCAGAGCTTTTTTGTTTTGTTTGTTTTTTGACAGACATGCTGGTTCTAAGCCTGTGTCCTAGTAGTCTCCACTACTTCCTGTTCTTCTAATTTTCTGTAGTTCTTATTTACTCCCATTTCCCCAAGGGAAAGAATATTTAAATGAATCACATGGCCAGTTAAGATGAATAATAACTTTAGGTCATTTGGCCAAAGGAATGGGACCCTTATGCCATTTAATTTGATGTTTATTTGGCTTATGGAAGCAAGTTGTAAACATTTGAGAGCTCTAATCAGTATTTTTGTTACAATAGAACTGTAGTGCTTGAGCTTTTTATCTTTTTGCAGCAGATTTTGGCATCTAACTTGTGTTTAAGGTGCTGAGATCTTTTTAACAATTGTGTATGTACTTTTCAGGCAACAGCTGAACAGATGCGTCTTGCTCAAGTGATCTTCGATAAAAATGATTCAGAATTTGAAGCTAAAGTTAAACAGGTATGTTTGTGGCAAAGATACTATTATTTTGATAGTAGAATCTCCCTAGTTACTAGTGTTACCAACAATGAGCTAGACATTTGTGAAGAAGCACCCTGACCTTGTCTGTACCTGTGTATAGAGAGTACATTTAGTATTTGGCAAGTTCTCAGAAAATTTTGTTTAATGTTAAGAACCAAATTGCCTTTTCCAACATGTTGATGATTCCAAACATATGCTGCAAAAATATAACATTAAATTTTAGTGTGATGTCTTCATTTAGAATTTTAGTGAGAGGCCTTTTTGATAATATAAATTTAAAAATCTTCTGATAAGACTTCTTTTCCCTTCAAGATTCTAGAAATCAAGCTGTATAACCCTTACCTCAGTCCAGACCTTGGAAGAGGTCTACAAGTAATTGTTCCTTGAGTGAATGTCCCACAGTGGACTTGTTACTGAGAGTTAGCTGGAAAAGGAAAGAAGCCTTGGTTCTTTTCACTGCCACCATAAAGAATTACGGAACAGCAGAATGAAAGCAAAGCAGAGGGCGCCTGGGTGGCTCAGTCGTTAAGCGTCTGCCTTCGGCTCAGGTCATGATCCCAGGGTCCAGGGATCGAGTCCCTCATCGGGCTCCCTGCTCAGCGGGGAGCCTGCCCCTCTCTCTCTCTTATGAATAAATAAATAAAATCTTTAAAAAAAAAAAAAAAAAAGAAAGCAAAGCAGAGTTTCATTAAAGTATACCCCCAAGGGAGAAGTGGGCTAGTCAAGAGACAGTGGCCCTGGAAACTTGGTGGTGTGGCCTTCTATCAGTTTTTTTCTTTTGGGCGGGCCGTAGGGTTGCAACATTTGAGTGACAGGCCTGGATTATATAATAGCCAACTTTCCCAAATTGTATTCAAAATGCCTGCATGGGGTAAGAATCTGCAACATTATTTCTATTTTAGAGACATTAGGTTAAATAAGGACAAACTGCTGCTTTCTGCACAAGTGCAACAAGCAAATTTAGCTCTAACTCCTGCCCAGGATGTTGTAACCACAAACCCATTGTTAGTTGGGGAGAATGGGGTGGTTCCCAGGCTGTCCTCACTTGCGGGGCTCTCCATTATGATATCTAAGGTCCATCCTCCTATTGCTCATGCCTAGCTTCCTGCCTAACTTTTTTAGCCCTTTACTCTGTAAACTCTTTGTTTATACTTAGAGTTGCTGTCATTAGACTAATAGTAATAGTTTTAGAAGGCCACAAAAAGGATTTATTAAAAATGATAGAACTTGGGCGCCTGGGTGGCTCAGTTGGTTAAGCAACTGCCTTCGGCTCAGGTCATGATCCTGGAGTCCCGGGATTGAGTCCCGCATCGGACTCCCTGCTCAGCGGGGAGTCTGCTTCTCCCTCTGATCCTCCCCCTCTCATGCTCTTTGTCTCCCATTCTCTCTCTCAGATAAATAAATAAAAATCTTAAAAAAAAAATGATAGAACTTATTCTCTGGAATGAGATTTATGTATAGCTCGAGACATACTTCTGCATATCGTATTTTCTTTTGTCTGAATAGTATAGCAGATACACAAAAAAGAGCACTGGTCCAGGAGTTCAGAGTTTTATGGTTAAACTTTAGTTTTTTTGTGTGTGTGTTTTATTTTATTTGTTGTTTATTTATCAAGACAAACTATCCCATAACCCAATATTCGTGTTTCATAGTTCAGGAACACAGGTCAGTGACAGACTTCAATGGAACTCAACCCAAAGAAATTCTTTACATTCCAAAATCACTTTGCACTCTGAAAGATACCAGCCTTCTTCATCTCCTCAAAATCTTTCATAGAATCATAATTTCTGTAGAAATCTGCATATGCCTTCTTTCTTGGTTCGGCCACAGCAAACTTGTAGAAAGCTGCAACCCCCAGGGCTACAGTGAACGCTCCAACAATATGAAATCACAGGCGCTTGGCCAGAAGGCCTCGCATCTGAGGTTTCGTCAAAGCACTGGAAGTCATGGTAGTTATTCTCCTCGACACCAACCTCAAACCTAACGTCCTCCCTAACTGATACAGAAATGGACCTAAACTTCAGTTTGATCTCTTACTAATCCAGTCACTGGGGGGTAATTTTGATAATGTTCATCTTATCACTTGCATATTACAGGTATTGGGTTAATACACACACTGATAAAAACTGACGCTAGTCGATATCCAAAGACCAAAGGACTGGAAAGCTGTAGTGCGTGTAGAACTTCCACTGTGCAATGCAGGGAAGAAAGCAGAGAGTGGTATAGTGCAAAGAGCTCTAGTTATGAAATCAGGATACCTGGATTCTGGATAGGCCTTCCTATTAGTTTTTTGACCACAGAAAAATCACTTCACATATTGGCATCAAACCGTTTTGAACAGGTGGTACATACTAAAACAGTTAAATGTGTGTAAAAACACAAGAGATACTTAAATTATACATTTGTTCGCTAATAATTGAGAAACTTGTACCTAATTTGTGATTGTATTTGTGTTGAAAATGCCAAGTAGCTTAATCTCCCTTGTTAAAGAGAATGTACCAAGGGGATTTCTTTCATTACTTCAAACATAGCACGCTGTTGAAGCTGCTTGCACAAGTACTATGTCTAGGAGTGAGTTTGTGATAGTTGTAGAATTGCACTTGTGAGACCTTTGGGTGTTGTCACTTACAAGTATGTGGAGTGTTCTAATCCAAGCAATGATAAACCACCTAGGGATTGTTTTCTTTGTACAAAATAGTTGGACTGGATGTTCAGTTAATGGTGGCCACATACACTTATTATTTGAGTAGTTGCGAATTTTGGGAATCCCAGGCCACTGAACTAAGTTGGAGTAGTCAGAGCTGATTATGAGTATGCGGAGAATGTTGGTATATATGTATGTGTATACTGCTGATTAATAATCTGATACTTGGTCATCTTGGAGGTGAGTTGATCTGTCATTTGACTCTTCTGTATTGATGAAAAGACAAGTGATGGTCACAAAAAGCAGGGAAACCTGTTCTTGCATTATAAGCTCAGAGTATGGAAGGAGGCCATCTTCATGTGGAAGGATTGTGTAATTTCTGTTTGTAAATAGAAGAATCTTAGGGGTGCCTGGGTGGTTCAGTCAGCTGAATATCTGTCTTCGGCTCAGGTCATGATCCCGGGGACTTGGGATCGAGCCCCACCTCTGGCTCCCTGCTCGGTGGGGGACCTGCTTCTCCCTCTCCCTCTGCCTGCTGCTCCCCCTGCTGTGCTCTCTCTCCCTCTCTCTCAAATAAAGAAAATCTGAAAAAAAAAGAAAAAAAAAAGAATCTTAAAGTTGATATCATGTGCCACTTTGGGGTCCCCTTAACCATATTCTTATAATTTCAACAGCTTATGGAAGTGACGGGGAAAAATCAGGATGAATGCATAGTGGCCCTACATGACTGTAATGGAGATGTGAACAAAGCTATCAATATATTGCTGGAAGGGAATTCAGACACGGTAAGAATTATTAATAAGTATTATTAATTGATTTGCAGTGCTAAGGTTTATCTCCAATTCCATATTGCATTTTGGACTTCACCTTTTTTGGGGTGGGGTTGGAGGGCATTATGGGTTCCATTCCATGTTTGTTTTAAGACCAGAAAGAACACTAACCTGAAATGACTGTTTCTGTTACATACGGTTTCTTCATGAAGTTGTAGAATCTGAAGACTGGAAAGTGAACTTGGTCATCTGCTCCAGTCTTACACAGTTCCCAAATTCTTTGGGCCTGTGGACATTTTCACCACCTGAAAAACTTCCCTTGGCTACTCTGCTCATGTTTCTTCCTCTCAATTGTCATCTCTTTACTACTCCTTATATCTCTAGACTAACAGAAAACCAGAATTTGCTGGTGTATCTATTTGCTTATGTGTGAATATTTTACAGACACATTTTCATGACCATTTGACAGATAAAATAAGAAAGAAAGGTGTTGTTGTTTTTAAGCTTAGTAAATTTTGAGGATGCAGGCACACTAAAGCTTATCCTTTTTATTTTAGGAAGATATAACTAAAGCCACACTAGGCAGTTCTCAGCCCCAATCTCTTGATTTCTGCATTGAGATTGCACACTGTTTTTCTTTTCTTTTCTTTCCTTTTCTCTTTTTTTCTTTATAAGATTTTATTCATTCGAGAGAGAGTGTGAGTGAGAGAGAGAGAGCAGAAGTGAGGGGAGGGTTAGAGAGAGAGGGAGAAGCAGAGCAGGGAGTCCAACTCGGGGCTTGATCCTAGGTCTGTGGGATCATGACCTGAACCGAAGGCAGCTGCTTAACCAACTGAGCCACCCAGGCACCATGTGCAGTTTTTCATTTGTATTTTCTTTTTTAATTAATTAACTAATTTGAGAGAGTGAGCACAAGCAGAGGGAGGGGCAGAGGGAGAGGGAGCAACAGACTCCCCGCTGAGCAGGGAGCCCAATGTGGCACTTGATCCCCAGGACAGTGAGCCGAAGGCAGTTGCCAACTGACTAAGCCACCCAGGCGCCCCTCATTTGTATTTTCAAAGCACCATTTCAAAACAGATTAAAACAAAATAATGATTCTCCTTAAAATGGGGTATAAAGATGAACAAAACCAAAAGTGCCTTCCTGTCAGTGTTCAGGTTTAATCAGGTTCTCTCTTTTTTTTTTTTTTAGATTTTATTTATTTATTTGAGAGAGAGAATGAGAGAGAGCAGGAGAGGGAGGAGGGTCAGAGGGAGAAGCAGACTCCCCGCTGAGCAGGGAGCCCGATGTGGGACTCGATCCCTGGACTCCAGGACCATGACCTGAGCCGAAGGCAGTTGCTTAACCAACTGAGCCACCCAGGCGCCCCTCAGGTTCTCATTTTTAAGGATAAGGCTGTATTAGGGACAGGCTATATAAAAATGAACTGTTGTGACAAGCTCAGAAGTATCTTTATTTAATATGAAATAAAAAGAATGAGTTACATAATTAAAAAAAATCAGATGTTTGGGATAGTATTTCACTATTTGAGTATAGCAGTATCTGTGGGTAAAATTCCATGCAAGATAACACTAGTCTGTCTGTTGGGTAAGTACATCATGTTAAGTGACGAAATAAAATTTTGAATAGTTTTTGTCTGCTGATACTTAGGCTTATATTTTCTGTGTTTTATTAAATATGGGGAATGTGTTTACCTCATTGCTAATGGATGTGGTATAGAATGGCTCTCAGTTTTTGTTTTTGTCTTGTTTTTTTTTGTAGAGAGGGAGAGAGTGGGGGAGAGACATAGGGGAGAGGGAGAGAGAGAATCTTAAATAGGATCCATACCAGTGCAGAGCCTGACTCAGGGCTCGATCTCACAACCCTGAGATCATGACCCGAGCCACAATCAAGAATTGGATGCTTAACTGACTGAGCCACCCAGGTGCCCCTAAACTACCTCCTTCATAAAATCACTGTGAATAAGTGAAATATTTCCAAACTGTTAATTGGAGGGCCTGTTTTCTTTTTATATGTTGTAGGTAGGTCAGGATACTACTCTGTGTTGCCTTTCCTTTAGCTCTAGCTGACTTCATTCTTTTTCTGTGGTAGTGGGCTGAAGTTTTAAGTCTTTGTTTTGTTTTTTTTTTAAGATTTTAAAGATTTTATTTATTTATTTCACAGAGAGACACAGCGAGAGAGGGAACACAAGCAGGGGGAGTGGGGGAGGGAGAAGCAGGCTTCCTGCAGAGCAGGGAGCCCGATGCGGGGCTCGATCCCAGGACCCTGGGATCATGACCTGAGCCGAAGGCAGACGCTTAACGACTGAGCCACCCAGGCGCCCCTGAATTTTTAAGTCTTAAGTGAATGTCCAGTTCTCTGTGTTTTACTGAGTTTTAACATCTTATGATCCTTTGGGACTGAACCCAAAGGAGGTAGTCCAACCGAAGAAGTTTGAATGATAAAGAACATATCTTTGGTTACCTTGAATCTGGAAATCATGTAGTGATTTAGGATCTAGTTTGGTTTCTTCATAGATCAGAAAACAGCAAATTAGGTCCTGAATACAGACACAAAAGGTGTATGCTGGTTGAGAGATGAGAAGGCTGTGGTAGAAATGGAGAGGCAGAGGAAAAGTCCTTTTGAAACTCTGGTTTGTTTAGGATCATACTTCCATAGTGTTTGTCTTGTCCCCTACCTGATTGCTGTCTGTAGGAGCCATGGCTAAGCAGCTGTAAGGAATATCTTCCCCTGACTAGGATAGAGTTCATTGGAGTGGAGGTGCTAGACAAAATAAATACTATAGGGTTGCCAGTAGCAAGAACATTTAAACCATGAAAGCAAACAAATTTTGTCCTTTTTGTGCCAGGATCTTCTGAAACAAAATTATTATTAATATTATTATTATTATTATTTAAAGATTTCTTTCTTTCTTTCTTTGACAGAGAGAGAGAGGGAACACAAGCAAGGGGAGTGGGAGAGGGAGAAGCAGGCTTCCTGCCGAGCAGGGAGCCCGATGTGGGACTAGATCCCAGGGACCATGGGACCGTGACCTGAGCTGAAGGCAGACGCTCAACCGACTGAGCCACTCAGGTGTCCCTTATTATTATTATTTTAAAGATTTTATTTATTTATTTGAGGGGGAGGGATCGAGAGAGAGAGAGAGCCCAAGCAGGTGAAGGACAGAGGGAGAGGGAGAAGCAGGCTACCACTGAGCAGGGAGCCAGATGTAGGGCGCCAGATGCAGGGCTTGATCCCAGGACCCTAGGATCATGACCTGAGCTGAATGCAGCCGCTTAACCAACTGAGCCACCCAGGCGCCCCTGAAACAAAATTATTACTTTGAAAAAAAAAAATGTTAGGAGTAATTGTCCATGATAATTTTTTTTTTTTAATATTTTATTTATTCATGAGAGTCAGAGAGAGAGAGAGAGGGGGGCAGAGGCAGAGGGAGAAGCAGGCTCCCCACCTAGCAGGGAGCCTGATGCGGGGCTCGATCCCAGGACCCTAGGATCATGACCTGAGCCGAAGGCAGACGCTTAACCATCTGAGCCACCCAGGTGCCCTGTCCATGATAATTTTAAGGATGAGTTTGTCTTTCTCATGTTAGAGGAGCTGTCACAAAGGAAAACATTGAACATGATCATAAGTACTAATAAACCTTTTATTTCATTATAATGCTATTTTTAGTCACAGAATAGTTCTGAAATATCAGTCTCTTGCATTAATGTACTCTTTTTAAAAAAGTAATTTGTGTTGGCAAATAAGAGGTGGGAGAGTGATTTTTTTTTTTAAAGATTTTATTTATTTATTTGACAGAGAGAGAGGCAGCGAGAGAGGGAACACAAGCAAGGGGAGTGTGAGAGGGAGAAGCAGGCTTCCCGTGGAGCAGGGAGCCCGATGCGGGGCTCGATCCCAGGACCCTGGGATCATGACCTGAGCCGAAGGCAGACGCTTAACGACTGAGCCACCCAGGCGCCCCGGGAGAGTGATTTTTAATTAGCTGGCCTGGAAAGCTGCTTTTCTGATTACTAAATGTAGTGTCTGGGAGGACCATTCTTCCTCTTAGAGTTTCTTCAAGACCTATTCTGCAAGTGGCCAAATACAGATGACAAAGGTTGTCAGAAGTTCAGTTGAAAATCTTTTATAATTATTTGGTTTATGTTGAAAGCTTGTGTGCATGCTCACAGACTGTTGTGTCAAGTGTGCGATACTCTCTTTAGCATTTACAGTGGCATTAGACCAGTTGCCCCTTAAGTTTGCTCTCCTTACTTTCTCCCACAAATAAGCTGTTGTCAGTCTTGTAGATTTCACAAGCCCAAGACTTACTTATGGGTGTCCTTTGCTGAATGAAATGGGGTAAGATGTTTTTCTCAAACGTTTCACATACTGGGGCGCCTGGGTGCTCAAGTCGATTAAGTGTCTGTCTTCGGCTCAGGTCATTTTCCCGGATTCCTGGGATTGAGTCCCCCATCGGGCTCCCTGCTTCGTGGGGAGTCTGCTTCTCCCTCTGCCCTTCACCCTGCTTGTGCTCGTGCGCTCTCTCTCTCGCAAATAAATCTTAAAAAAAAAAAAAAAAGACAATATAAGTTGTATACATATGCACCTGTGCTGACTATACCATGTGTAATTTTTCTAGGACTTTTACTTTTTGTCTTGTTAACCTAAGAGGACAGGATTCTGTCTTGCATAGGTGTCTTGTTTATTCATATTAGCAAGCATAATTGAGTTTGTACATTGCAGAATTATTTCTCTGGAATAAATAAGCTTTATTGTTTCCTGTAATTAAAAAAGCAATGCAGAGGGGTGCCTGGGTGCCTCAGTCAGTTGAGCATCTGCCTTCGGCTCAGGTCATGATCTCAGGGTCCTCGGATCGAGCCCTACATTGGCCTTTGCGCTTGGCAGGGCATCTGCTTCTCCCTGTCCCTCTGTGTGCGCTCACGGTCTCTCTCTCAAATAAATAAAATCTTAAAAAAAAAAAGTAATGCAGAATGATAAAAAATTAAATTAAACATCCTCATTTAGATAACTCCTTTTTTCAGTATATACATATATATATGTATACATACACACACATGGGCTTCTCTTTGAACTAAAAAATGTAATCCTATTTTTTACACAGTTGGTTAGCTTGCTATACTTATATCATGGATCTGTTTCTGTGTACACCTGGATAACTTTTTTTCTAAAGATTTTACTTATTAGAGAGTATGCACGCATGCACGACAGCATGAGTGGAAGGGAGAGGCAGAGGGAGAGGGAGAAGCAGAGAGGGAGAAGCCCAATGCTGGCCCCATCCCAGGGCCCAAGGTCCCAGGATCATGACCTGAGCCGAAGGCAAATTCTTGACCAATTGAGGCGTATTTCCTTTGAATAAAGGCCTGGAAATAGAATTGCTGGGTCAAAAGCTGTGAACTAATTAAAGTTTGGGTATTATTATTCCTAGGTAGGCTTGTAGGAAGATTAGAATAGATCAGTATTCACCAGAAGTGAATATACCAGATTATTCTGCTGTAACTGTCAGTTGTTGATTTTTAAAAACTATTGATAAAAGCTTATAGTTGGAAAACAACTTGTTTTAGTATTTTTTTCACATCTAATGATTTTATATGTAACTAAATACATGGGTTGAGTAGAGGCTTGTAGATGTTAAAAAAATTCTTTCTAGGGCGCCTGGGTGGCTCAGTTGGTTAAGCGACTGCCTTCGGCTCAGGTCATGATCCTGGAGTCCCTGGATCGAGTCCCGTATCGGGCTCCCTGCTTGGCAGGGAGCCTGCTTCTCCCTCTGACCCTCCCCCCTCTCATGGGCTCTCTGTCTCTCTCATTCTCTCTCTCTCAAATAAATAAATAAAATCTTTAAAAAAAAATAAAAAAATTAAAAAAAATGTGTTTTAGGGGCGCCTGGGTGGCTCAGTCGTTAAGCATCTGCTGTTGGCTCAGGTCATGGTCCCAGGGTCCTGGGATCAAGTCCCACATCGGGCTTCCTGCTTGGTGGAAAGCCTGCTTCTCCCTCTCCCACTCCCCCTGCTTGTGTTCCCTCTCTCGCCATGTCTCTCTCTGGCAAATAAATAAAATCTTTAAAAAAAAAAAAGGTGTTTTAAATCTGGCCTCCACTGTTTTGGAAGTAATTCAGCTATGTTTCTTTAATTTTAGTTTATTAATTTCTAGTGCTTATGTTTATTTGGATATACAATATTAGTAATTTCCTTTTGTTCCTAAGATTTTTTTAAGCTTAAAATAGTTACTGGTCTTATTTTGGGATTGAGTCACTTCAAATCTCTTGTGAAATGAGGTAGATGATGACAAAGTAAAAAGAAACAAATGCGTCAGTTTGGAGATTGCTCAGTAATGTACCTTTATTGATATCCTAATACCAATTATTTTCACAAGAACGAAGTGTTCTTTTATCAGCAGTTTATATATATATATGATTTGTTTTGAATCATCATTAGAGGAGAGGCAGAGAAGGTTGTTATTTGACTTCTCATTAGAAACACGTCTTTGAGGTTGAAATTTTGGTCACTTAGTTTAAAAAAATAATCCCTGATTTTATTTGCCTACCGTTAAATTTTTTTAGATGGTTACTTTGGTTAACTGAATAGAGCAAGTTATTCCTGAGGTTTTAGGGAAGGACTTTAATGTAATTTTGTATTCTTTGAGCTAATCTACTTATTCATAGGTTTAAGGCCTGCTGAGGTAGGTGGAGGTGGCATAGTGTGGGAGCTTGGGGAAATTACCTTTTATTTTTATTTTTTATTTTTAAAGGATTTTTTTTTTTTTTGAAGACTTTATTTATTTATTTGACAGAGAGAAAGAGAAAGAGAGATGGAGCAAGCACAAGCAGGGGGAATGGCAGGCAGGGGAGATGCAGGCTCCTTGCCGAGCAGGGATCCCGACGTGGGACTTGATCCCAGGACCCCGGGTCATGACCCAGCTGGAGGCAGACAGATGCTTAACTGACTGAACCATCCAGGCGCCCCTCTTTTTAAAAGATTTCATTTATTTATTTGACAGAGCGAGAGAGCACAAGCAGGGGGAGCAATAGAAGGAGAGGGAGAAGCAGGCTCCCCGCTGAGCAGGGAGCCCGATGCGGGGCTTGATCCCAGGACTCTGGGATCATGACCTGAGCTGAAGGTGGACGCTTAACCATCTGAGCCACCCAGGCGCCCTGACCTTTTATTTTTATTTTATTTTATTTTATTTATTTTATTTTATTTTTTAAAAAGATTTTATTTATTTATTTGACAGAGAGTTAGCGAGAGCAGGAACACAAGCAGGGGGAGTGGGAGAGGGAGAAGCAGGCTTCCTGCCGAGTAGGGAGCCCGATGTGGTACTCGATCCCAGGACCCTGGGATCACGACCCGAGCCGAAGGCAGATGCCCAACGACTGAGCCACCCAGGCGCCCCCGACCTTTTATTTTTAAATCAGCACAGGAAAAGGCTCTGTGGTGGGACAACATATAGTGTGTTGTTAATTCAGCTAGTTGCTGTAGTCTTTTGTGCTGTATATGGCAACAGGAGCTTAGCAAGAGATCTGCTGTCTTTTTCATCAGAAAGTAGAACTATATGGATAATAATTAAAATGTTGGCAAGTGAGCTGCAAGGCATGGGTTATTAGGTCTGAAAGGTATATATGCACATATCCTTTTTAATTGTATACACTTTGATAACAACTCTGAATGACCACTCTTATCTTGGTAGACTTCATGGGAGACTGTAGGGGGAAAGAAGAAGAATTTTGTAAAAGAAAGTTCAGAAAACAAAGAGAATAGAGAGAAGAGAAGTGAGAGAGAAATAAATCGTGGACGTGGAAACAACCGGAAAGGAAGAGGTGGCAATCGTGGGAGAGAGTGTAAGTACATTTCAAAAAATTTTTGTGCACACTGAAAAGCTGAAAGAGTGGTCCATCGAATGCCCATAAATCTAGTGCCTCAATGCAGTGTGTGTTTTTATAGGTAACACTTAATAATGAGCTACAGCTGAACCGTAACTGATGCAGTTTTATATTAGCACTTGCCTTGGCTGTAGGTAGGTGTATTGTGTGTTTTAAGACTGCCTTCTGTTATTTATCAAGTATACCCTCTAATTTTAAAGGAGGATTTTCATTCACTGATAGATAATGCTGTTTATTCTTCCTACTTAATGGATACTCATTGTAATAGGCAAGGGTTAGATTAAGAGGGAGGTTGTCGAATAGGGAAGATTTTTTCTCAGTCCTTTCATTTGACCCATATTTTGGCATTATTACCCATAACAACACAACCTTATGTGCAGACATACCATCTTAGAAACTTTACTAGTGTATTTATTCCACAGATGTTTACTGAGTACCTACTATGTGGCAGGTACTCTAATAGGCATAGAGCAATGAAAAAACAAATCTTTGTCCTCCTAAAACTTTTTTTTTTTTTTTTAAGATTTTATTTATTTATTCGACAGAGAGAGACACAGCGAGAGAGGGAACATAAGCAGGGGGAGTGGCAGAGGGAGAAGCAGGCTTCCCGGGGAGCAGGGAGCCCGATGTGGCGCTCCATCCCAGGACTCTGGGATCATGACCTGAGCCGAAGGCAGATGCTTAACGTCTGAGCCACCCAGGCACCCCTGTCCTCCTAAAACTTTTAATGGAGGTAGAGTGAGATGTAACAATAAGAAAGAGAAGTTAACATGTTTTGCAGTAATATTACAGTATTTTAATGATGTTATATGTGGAAATTATACTGTGGGGGAAAAACAGAGGCAGCAAGATGGTGGTTTTAGGGAAGGGATTGACAAAGTTAAATGGAGTGGCCAAGGAAGGCACTCACATGGGATAACATTGACAACTCATGGATTTAGGCTAGGCCATGAAAGAGGTGAGGAGAGCAAGCTGTTCTCAAAATTTATGTATTATATAGAGTCATTAATTCCAATATAGGTATGAGGAGAAGATAAGACTCTGCTGGCATATTCTGGATAGCATCTTGGGAAAACCTGTCTCTAACACTAATTTTTTTAGCAACTCGTTATTTCCTTGGTATTGTTGTTTTGCTACTCTAGGCCTTTCCAGGCTTCGAACCTAACCAGTGAGCCAGTTTTGGTGTGTATTACGTACAGCTGCATAACAAATGTGGCTTTTTGAAGCAAACTTGCTTTAGGGGTGGGCAAGTCCAGCTAGAAGAAAGAAAGAGTGGTACATCATTTTTATTTCCTTACAGAATTTTCGCCTACAAATTAAGCAATGTGCTGTCATCAGTTTTTCAGCCACTTTTACTTGGTTTTGTTTTTACCATTTTCTGATCCCTTTTGTTAAAATTTTTTTGTCCTTGCCTTTGATAGCTCTTATGTACAATTATGTACAAGAGGTGCTCTTTTCTCCCGTAGTTAGAGGCGAAGAGAATGGAATTGATTGCAACCAAGGGGACAAGGCTTCCGACCGTGGCAAGCGAGCTCGTGGCAGAGGTAAGATAGAATAAGGGAGAAGGAGATGCTTTTGAATGGAAGGAGGAGACAGGCTATTGGTATAGGCATGGCAGTGTGCTCTGAGAGACGGGTGGGTCTTCTGCAATCTTTGGTTGGTTTGTTGATGACTATGAATGAAGTGTTTGCATTTACATAATTTTGAGAAAACTTACTGGTTGGTTTCACCTGATCTGAGAAAGCCCTTTAAATGAATAATTTAAAACTTGACGCTCTGATCAAACAATCATTAAATTTTTCTCTGTTGGACTTTTTTTTTTAAAGATTTTATTTATTTATTTGACAGAGAGAGACACAGTGAGAGAGGGAACACAAGCAGGGGGAGTGGGAGAGGGAGAAGCAGGCTTCCCACTGAGCAGGGGCTCGATCCCAGGACTCTCGGATCATGACCTGAGCCGAAGGCAGACGCTCAACGACTAAGCCACCCAGGCGCCCCTCTGTTGGACTTTAATAGATGTGTTTTACCCATGTGATACTGGTTTTATTTATTTATTTATTTATTTATTTTTTAAGATTTTACTTATTTGAAAGAGAGAGACACAGTGAGAAAGGGAACACAAGCAGTGGGAGTGGGAGAGGGAGAAGCAGGCTTCCCGTGGAGCAGGGATCCCGATGTGGGGCTCGATCCCAGGACCTTGGGATCATGACCTGAGCCGAAGGCAGACGCTTAACCGACTGAGCTACCCAGGCGCCCCCATATGATACTGGTTTTAAACTTAAACGTATTTTCCCATTCATTAGCTCTCTTTCCCATCCCTCAATATTTTCTGTTAGTGATCATTTCTTAACATTTATTAACTTGGGATGTCATTAAGCCACTTTAATAATGTAATTTCGTATACTTTAGAGTTGTTACTGAATTTTCTCAGGGTCATAAAATCAAGATACACGATGGTAATATGTAGATACTGCTTTGGTTCAGTGGATGGGTTACCCGAACTAACATGTTGTTTGATCCATTTTATTTCATTTTTCTTTTCAAGATTTTATTTTTAAGTAATCTCTGCACCCAACGTGGGGCTTAAACTCACACCCTCACAACCCCAGAGATCAGGAGTCTCATTCTCTACAGACCAAGCCAGCCAGGAACCTCTGTTTGATGTATTATTAAATGCAGTTGTGACTGTTCTCTTCATGAGCAGTTCATAGTGGCAGAATTTTTGATCAGCAATATTATTAAGCATAGAAGTAATGTAGGCACTGTACATTAATTACCTAAAAATTTAAATTAAAAAAAGAACATAGGCAATATGTATAGTACCAACTCCCTTTGCTGTTCATTCAACTATCATTTACTAAAATACTATATTTGCCAAAGGTAAATGATATCCAGAGATCAGAGAAGGCAAAACTATGTACTGATTTGCCCAGCAGAGTCAAAATAAGATTAGAATTATTTATTTGACAGAGAGAGGGGGAAAGAGCGCTTGAGCGCACAAGCAGGGGAAGTGGCAGGCCGAGGGTGAGGGTGAGAAGCAGGCTCTCCACTGAACAGGGAGCCCGATGTGGGGCTGGATACTAGGACGCTGGGATCATGACCTGAGCCAAAGACAGATGCCTAACTGACTGAGCCACCCAGGCGACCCCATCTAACCAATTTTAATTCCCTTTTCTAGCCTTTTAAAATTATGATCAATTCCAAATTTAGACGAAGTGGAGAGAATAGTTAGTTGAACCACATGTCCTCTCCTTCTTAGTCAACAACACTTAAAGATTTTAGCCATATTGGTTTTATAGATCTTTCCTACCTTCCTTCACTGCAAAAAATTTTAAAGTAGATATTTTGGGTCACTTTACCCCTAATTACTATGGTAAGCACCTCTGAAAAAGGTAGACACTTTCATATATAATCATAATGCTATTTTATTTTATTTTATTTTATTATTTTTTAAAGATTTTATTTATTTATTTTAGAGACAGAGCACAAGAGGGGGGAGGGTCAGAGGGAGAAGCAGACTCCCTGCTGAGCAGGGAGCCCGATGCGGGACTCGATCCCAGGACCCTGGGATCATGACCTGAGCCGAAGGCAGTCGCTTAACCAACTGAGCCACTCAGGCGCCCCATAATGCTATTTTAACAGCTCAAAAAGTCATAGTAAACTTTTGGTATCATCTAATATTTAACCCATGTATAAATTTTCCTGATTACTTAAAAAATGTCTTTTCATAGTTGATTTCTTTGAATCAGGATTGAAACAAGATTCATACATTACATATTTTGATTCTCTTTAATCTAGAGTATATTCTTCCTAACTTCTTTGTACCTCCCCTTTTTTCTCCTTACCATTGATTTGTTGTCAGAACCATATTACTTGTCCTTTAGGTATTATGTTTCACATTATGCATTGGTCTTTTTGTTTCTTGTGGTGTCACTTAGCTTATTTCTTTAGCCCCCTTATTTACTGTAAATGTAAGTTAGCTTTAAAGATTAGATTCAAGCTCAGTTTTTTGGGTAAGCATAGAGGAGGTTATGTATTCTATATTGCACTGCATCAGAAGACCTGTTTATGTTTTCCTTTTAATTTTTTTAGTGGTGTTTAGGTTAATGAATGAGTTGTCCATTTTTAGTGAGTTTATTTATTAGTAGGTATTAGGTTAACTGCATTTCTGAACATAATCCCTATCTTGGTTTTTATGGTTTAGTTTTTCTTTTTTTTAATTTAATTTTTTTTTTTTAAAGATTTTATTTATTTATTTGACAGAGAGAGAGACAGTGAGAGAGGGAACGCAAGCAGGGGGAGTGGGAGAGGGAGAAGCAGGCTTCCCGCTGAGCAGGGAGTCCGATGCGGGGTTCGATCCCAGGACCCTGGGATCATGACCTGAGCCGAAGGCAGACGCTTAACGACTGAGTCACCCAGGCGCCCCAATTTCATTTCATTTTTTTTTTTTTTAAAGATATTTATTTATTTATTTGAGAGAGCGTGAGCATGAGCAGGGGGAGGGGCGGAGCCAGAGGGAGAAGCAGACTCCCCGCTGAGCAGGGAGCCTGATGCGGGACTCGATCCAGGGACTCCAGGATCATGACCTGAGCCGAAGGCAGTCGCTCAACCAACTGAGCCACCCAGGCACCCCTTTAATTTCATTTTTAAAAAAGATTTTATTTCTTAGAGCACGTGTGAGCAGGCTTGGGAAGGGGTAGAGGGAGAGGTAGAAAATCCCAGCAGAACATCCCAATACTCTGCGCTGAGTGTGAAGCACGACACGGGGCTCAATCCCACAACCCTGAGATCACAACCCGAGCTGAAATCAAGAGCTGGTGCTCAACCGACTGAGCCACCCAGGTGCCCCTATGGTTTCGTTTTTAAAAGAATTCTCTTGGAATTGAAGATGAGGATTGCAGCATATGTAATTCCATTCTTGATTTTCTTTGTGACAAGAGTAGTCTGCTCAGGGACAGCATTGGGCCTTGCTTGGTCTCTGCAATGTTAAGAGCTCTAGCTAGGCCTGTTTTGGGGTACTTACCTAAGACTTCAGAGTTACCTATCTACAGAATGTTTTTCTCTTTGTGAGTTGGACAAAAATGGAATAATTAATAATAGCTAATATTTACTGTGGGTGTTTATTGTGTAGTAGGCCTTTTACTTGTAATTTACATGTACTTTGCTTTAATTCCCCCAGTAAGACGTCTGAGGATTATTGTTGCTGCTGGTAGTATTCTCATTTTACCGATGAGAGAACATGAGTCTTGAGAAAGGCAGATTACTTGTACATGGTCAGGATTTGAACTACTTCTACCTATTCTGGGACCCAGGTTCTTCAGGGAGATGAAGGGAGGAAGGGAAAGAGTCAAAGTGGATAGTAGGCTGGTTATCTGTCTTCTTGCCTCCTTCCTTTTTCAAGGATTCATTTTTTTTTTTAAATATTAGAGGTGGACATAAATCGCTTTTCTTTATGAAAAGATGTAAGGACTTAACTAGTGGGTCACCCTGAAACCATGTCTGCTTGGAACTGTTATTATGAGACACTCTGAATTGAAGGAGCCAAAGCAAGTAAAATCTGATAAAATGATTCTGGCTTGCTTTAAAATCCCTAATTCAATACCTAATCCTTTTTTTAATAGATTTTATTTTTTAAGTAATCTCTACACCTAAAATGGGACTTGAACTTAAAACCTTGAGATCAAGAACCGCATGCTCCATTGACTGAGTCACACAGGCACCCCAATACCTAATCCTTTTTAAGAAAGATGTAAAGTAGTGGTAAGGGACTCAGATTGGCCTTTTATAAATCAAGTTTGACCAAAAAAAAAAAAAAATCAGTCTACTCTACCCTCACATATAAACTTAAATGAGTTATAAATTATTTTTTAGCGAGAGAGAGAGAGAATGAGAGCATAAGCAGGGTGCAGATGGAGAGAGAGAATACCAAGCAGATGCCACACTCAGTGTGGAGCCTGACACACGGCCGGATCTCAGAACCCTAAGATCATGACCTGAGCCAAAATCAAGAGACGGTTGCCCAAGTGATTGAGCGACCCAGGTGCCCCGAGTTAAAATTTTTTATCATTGTTTTGTATGTATGATTTTAATTAAACTTACTTTTTCAAAGAAGTGAATCGGACATTGTTTTGTGTATAGGATTTTTCAATTAAACTTTACCTTTTCTGGGTCGCCTGGGTAGCTCAATTGGTTAAACAGTCTGACTCTTGGTTTTGGTTCAGGTAATGGTGTCACGGTGGTGGGATCAAGCCTCCGCATTGATCGGGCTATGCGCTCAGTGAGAGTCAGCTTCAGATTCTTTCTCCCTCTCACTCTGCTTCTCCCCTTCCCGCCCCATAAATTACTAAATAAAAATGCTTAAAACGTATACTTTAAACTTTACTTTTTGAAAAAAATTTTTTTTTGTATCATAACACCTGTATTTAAGTATATTTAGATAAATCTTTTTTTTTTTTTTTTTTTAAGATTTTTTATTTATTTGCGAGAGACAGTGAGAGACAGACAGCATGAGAGGGAGGAGGGTCAGAGGGAGAAGCAGACTCCC